AGGATTAAATTGTAAAATCGTAAAGTTGGTAGACTATTTTAAGAAGTGCAGGAAGTTCAGTGACTAAACTCATGGTTTACCCATTTTCTTTATAGGATGAATTATAACCCCCATATCCTGTGTGTTTTTTTGCAGAAATTTCTCAGTTTTTCCTCTCCAACAACCCTCTTTTCAACTCCGATCTACTCATCATCTGACCTTCAATCGACGAACCGAAACCACCATCGTGTTTGTTATCGACCGAGGAACAAAACCCCTCAAACCTTTCGTCGTGAATCGTCGTTGTTCGTCGTTAATTTCAATTGGAAGTATCGTCGGTAATTACTCAATTTTAGTTGGTTTTTCGTCGATTCACGACGATCCGGTCATCCGTTTACGACACCTCCCGCACCATCTTGTTCCTTGTGCCATTCTGAGTATGTCGTTGTTCTCCTTAAAATTGTAAACCGAGCTCTTCGCCGTTCAAAATTGTAAACCGAGCTTGGTAAGTACCTTAAAATCGCTTAAAATAACTTTTACGAATTTTTTCGGGAATTTTCCGACACCGTAGCACTGTTAACGCGCCACACGCGCCACTCCAAGAGTGGGCATCGTCTGTGATAATTTTCTAATTAATTTATGTTTGGGTGCTATTTGTGTAAAATTCGGGTGTTAGTTTAGCAAATATTTGTATAATGGGGCTAATTTGGTAATTAATTTCTGTTAGGATGATATTTGTGTAAAATGGTCGATTGTTGACCGTAGACCGTTGACCGGCGTTGACCATAGTTGACCAGAACTTTGACTGGCTTTGACCGGGCATTAAACGACCTTTGACTTTTACCGAGTATATATATACTGACATTTTTCGACGTTTCGAATCCGATTATGCAGTCCGTTTTTCGAAATTCAGACCCGAAGGCCTCGAAATTGCCAGTCAAACCCGTTGACTTTGATTTTGAACGAAAATTTCAAATTTTTGAAAAGTCATATTTTATATTTTCGACGTCCTGAATCCGAATCCGAAGTCCGTTTTGCCAAATTCAAACTCGGTAAGCTATTTTTCACTGATTTAACATCCGATTCGATCTGTTTTTCAGAATTAAGCTCTGTTTTTTTATGTAATTTCTGTTGATATGGATCTGAGGAAATATTGGAAGATGATTTCAAGATCGAGGGCGTTCGAATGGAATTTAATGGTCGATCAGTATGGCATGAAAATCGAGGTAATACTTTACTACCTCTTTATACTTTATGAAACATGTGAATATTGGTAAATGCATGAATAAGATAATGTTGGTCTCATTTGTGTAGTTAATGAATTTCTATACTCGATCCGAATACAGTAGAAATTTGGCAACTGATTATGGTTCAGATGATTAATATAAGAAATTGATGGATTGTTAGAATTATATTATGAGTTCTGTGATTAGTGATAAAGGAATTATCATGGATTTGTAGCTTATAATATATGTCATTAAAGGTTAAATGTTAAAGGTACTTGGATGAGAAATTATGAGAATACTTCGGTAGGGTAAAATTATAAAAATACCCTTATATTGTAAAAAGATAAGATTTGACCATGGAAGTGGGATAAGAGGTTTTTAAAAACATATTGATATGATGAAACTATTGATGTGCATAAGAAATACTAGTTTTGCTTAGAAAATTTGGATAATCGGTTTTTAACCCAAAGAGGGTTTGTGCAAGATACTAGAAGTATATTAAGGAATCATTTCAAGATAAGAGAATGTTCGGGAAAGCAATTAACCATAGGATCTCTAAATTATAATTATTTTCGTTAAGAGTTAATACCGAAATTATTTGGTTAATAAATTACGAAAATGCCCTTAAGAGGTAAAATAGTCCGAGTTGACCCTGAATAAAAAAGTACTTTGAGGATTCGTACTTAACTCGATCAAATACGGATTTGATTGTTATGATCCTGACTTAGTGCAGAAAAATTCCTGATATTCCGTTTATAAAATCTGAGAAGGCACTTGACCCGAAAATATACGAGTTATAAGTAAATACCTGAAGAATGATTTATCAATGGTGCTCTTTTGTCAGAATTATTTGAAAGGACTAAAGTAAATGATAAGATTAAATTAAATAATAAGACCGGATGGAAAAAAAAGATTAAAATACCGTAGATCTATAAAATGACCAAAATACCCCTATAATGGAAATGACTCAAGAACATCACCAAGCTTAGGAATGATTGGATATCTTCGAGCTCTGAAATGAATGGAATAAAATGGAGCACCAGAATTACCAAAATACCCTTATGGCCTAGACTAAGTAGATGTTTTAAATAAGGAATCCAAGTAAATATGGGTGTTGGACTACCCTTAAAAGTTATGGAACAACTTAAGTGAGCCGATCAACCTTAATGATATGTCAGTACCTGAACGACATAGATATTATTTGAACGCGTGTTCGTCTTCTCAAGTTTGGATCAATGATAATTTTGGAAATATTCAGCTCAGTAACTCTAGATCGCATTCAGTACTAAGAATTTTATATTTGTTCGACACATCAACCACGAAGACCGAACTGAACTGAAAGGAAGTACAATATGTATCCGAAATTCAGAAACATCTGAAATTACTCTGGAAAATTCTGAAGTAGTTGAAATAGACTCGAATGCTAAATGAACTAGGTAACCTCAAGGACTGAGGATTAGGTAATAAATTGGAATAAGCCTAAAAACTCGGATTACCTTACGTGATGTATCATCCCTATGGATTATGAACCATAAATCAAGTACGTCAGCATTTCCTGATATAGCTGAAACATGGAAATGAAATAAAGACCATTAGAATATATGTTCATCTCCTTAAGATCTGTTCAGTGATGACTCAGAAGGTGATCTATGGATAAGAATATTTGGTATTAAAGAGTAAATACCCTGGAAGGTTAATGAATTTGACAAGTTGACAAGTATTAGTTCTTGGAGCTATTCATCTGGAGTTGTTCGATAATCTGATCAATCGACATAGATTGTAAAGGTCCTGAATCTTCGTTATTCCTTATCAACTCAAATCACTCTGGTCATGTATGAAAACATAAGTAACTCATATGTAAAGGATTTTGAATACCCTTCTGATTACGTAGAGCTTCCGATAAATGTCCGAATAAGATGATCATGATAAGTATATTATGAATAACTGATGATTTTGTCAATTAACAAACTCTTCTAATAGTGATTCTAATTTTCGACATTCTATCGGTAAACTGAAGATTTTTGTTTCTCTACCCGATAAGATTATCTTGTATCTCTAAATAATATATGGAAACTCTAGTGTGTTCCCTACTTATATGAATATTTTATCTGATTTTTTATTTGAATTCTGTTTTGACATCTGATCTGAAATATGTTCTGATTCCTAACCTGGATTCTGTTCTGATATCTGATCTGAATTATGTTTTGATTTCTGATATCTCCGTTTATCGACAGAGAAATGTTTTATTTAGGGGTTTATTGTTGGAGGAAGATTATCTGCAGACTCCTTGGCTTTGTGCTCAGGGTCTAAATGGCATGTGCGGTTGGGTGTATGGTTCTGGGGAAGCTACACATTTATGATATGAACGGATGTGGGTATATATATATATGTTTTAAAAGATCTGTATCTTTTTACTGATTTTATGGGAACACACTAGAAAACCTATTCTGATCTCCTGAACCTAGACATCCGAAATATTTCCATCTGAAATGAATACTATTTGTTACTACCTGCGATATCAATGGACCTCAGCTCAACATAAAGATCTGTAAATATCTGAACCAATAAGGAAAAATGTGTTTATTTGTATCTACATGCTCTTCAGCATCATCTGGTAGTTCTGTATTACTGAGCTTTCCGAAGCTCACTCTATTACTCAACATTGCAGGTTAAAAGAATCGTACCAGTACATCTATCGATATCAATAAAGGAGTTCTTCCGGCGTTGCTTGCAGAGAATGGTACATGTGATTAGGGGGCATGTACTTATATTTTGTTTTATATACGAGTCTGAAAATCTGTTTTATTTCTGCATACTGATAAATCATTTTATAAGTAACATGTTTTAATACAAGTTTTAAATTTTTCGCCATTTTTACAATGGGTCGCTCCGGTGGCCCTAATGTGACACTCTAGACTGGATCGGGTTATCCGCATCGGTCTGAGGGGGTTAAAGTTGGACCCTTAGTGCATCGGTGCACTAAGAGTGCATCGATGCATAAAATGCATTCGATGTTTCAAAATAGCCTGAGTGTATCGATGCATGGTTGGTGCATCGATGCATCAAATGCATTCGATGTTTTCATAAAACTCTGAGTGTATCGATGCATAGTATGTGCATCGATGCATGAAATGCATTCGATGTTCAATTTATTCCATGGTGCATCGATGCATGGATTGGTGCATCACTCTGAAAAATTGATTTTAGGCTTGATTTTGGTTCAAAATACTTTGCGAAAATTGTTTCAAAAATATATTAAGTATAAAACACAATTTTACACATTTAGTAAGGTTTGAAATTGATCTTGAAGACTTGGAGTACTAATTTGATATTCGAGTAATTAAATCGAATATACTTGGAAAATCATTTGTAAAATCTTAAAATTCATTTATACTTAATTTGTTATATCGAAACATCAAAATGTTTTCAACACAATTCCATCACCAAATTCATCCAAATATAAATTAGTTTCAACCATAGTTTAACCTAATTTTTTTTCCAAACATATAATAATATAAATTGGCTTAACGATTTTGTTAAGAAGGGATGTGATTAGTGTGTGTGTATATATATGTAGTTTGGGATAAAATTAGAATGTTCAAAAGCTTTGGGAACCAATTTATAATGAAGGTCATAGTTTGGGGATGAAATTGAAATATTCAAAAGTTTGAGGACTAATTTAGGATCATAGTCATAGTTTAAGGATGAAATTGAATTATTTAAAATTATAGAGACCAATTTAAAATATAGATCATACTTTGAGGACATATATTGCAATTAACTCTTAAAATTAAGATGCAAATCTGCAAGATAAACGATTGCGTTGAACCATTTTCAAAATTCCCACTCTCTAAAACGGCAGCGTTTAATTTTATCTTCTATCCAGATCTAGTTAAACCCTTCAGAAAAAACCCCAGCCAAAACCAGCCATGCTCTGTGGTTTTCAACAATGGCTTTATCTGCAAGAACTCCTCAAACCCTTATCAACCCGGACCTCCGAAACCCTATCCGGACCAAAATACGAAACCCCAATTCCCCATGTTTCTCAAAAAAACGCAAACCCCTCCAAATCTCCTCAACGCAACCTCAGCAGCAGCTCTCATTCCTTGACAGTAATCCCCTGAACAACAAAAACCCGAATTCCCATCTCCAACTTCTTTGTATAAATTCGAAACTCCAAGAAGCTTTGAAGTACCTGGAGTCGATGCAAGAATTACAGATTCCATTAGATGAAGACGCGGCAATTGCTATGGTGAGACTTTGTGAGTGGAAACGAGCTTTCGAAGAAGGTTCTAAGGTTTACTTTTATATATCTAATTCGAGTAATTCGTTGAGTCTTAGGCTTGGTAATGCTTTGTTGGGTATGTTTGTAAGGTTTGGGAAACTGGGTGATGCTTGGTACGTGTTCGGTAAAATGCTAGAAAGAGATGTTTTTTCTTGGAATGTTTTGATTAGTGGGTATGCGAAAAAAGGGTTCTTCGATGAAGCTTTGTGCTTGTATCATAGGATGTTGTGGGTCGGTTTTAAGCCTGATGTTTATACTTTTCCCTGCGTTTTGAGAACTTGCGGTGCTGTTCCGAATTTGGAAAGAGGTAAAGAGGTTCATGTTCATGTTATTAGGTTCGGGTTTGAAGCAGATGTTGATGTGGTTAATGCTTTGATAACTATGTATGTAAAGTGTGGAGATTTACCAAGAGCGAGGTTATTGTTTGGTAAAATGGCTAGGAGAGATAGGATATCTTGGAATGCGATCATTTCGGGGTATTTTGAGAATGGGGAGTGCTTGGAAGGGATAAGGTTGTTTTTTAAGATGCGTGAGCATAGGTTTGATCCAGATTTGATGACTATGACGAGTGTGATCTCTGCATGTGAGAGCCTAGGTGATGAGAGATTAGGCAGAGAAATTCATGGATATGTGGTTGTAACAGGGATGTCAGCCGATGTTTGGGTTTGTAATTCTTTGATTCAAATGTACTCAAGTTTTGCATGTTGGGAAACAGCGGAGAAAGTTTTCAATAAGATGGAATGGAGGGATGTAGTTTCTTGGACAGCAATGATCTCGGGTTATGAGAACAACGAACTCCCTGATAAAGCTGTGGATACTTACAGAATGATGGGGGAGCAGGGATTCATGCCTGATGAAGTCACTTTAGCCAGTGTTCTTTCAGCTTGTGCTTGTTTAGGAAAGCTAGATATGGGAATAAAGCTTCATGAACTTGCTAAAAAGACAGGCCTCATATCTTATATTATAGTTGCTAACACCTTAATTGATATGTATTCCAAGTGTAAATGTATTGATAAGGCTCTAGAAGTGTTCCACAACATTCCTGACAAGGATGTCATTTCTTGGACTGCTATCATTTTGGGACTTCGGCTTAACAATCGGTGCTTTGAAGCATTGATTTTCTTTCGGCAAATGAAACTGAGTTTAAAACCAAATTCTGTGACATTGGTGTCTGTTCTATCTGCATGTGCTAGGATAGGTGGATTGATGTGTGGAAAAGAGATTCATGCATATGCATTGAGGACCGGCATGGCACTTGATGGTTTCCTACCCAATGCACTTCTGGACATGTATGTAAGGTGTGGAAGGATGGGACCTGCTTGGAACCAATTTAACTCGCAGAGAAAAGATGTTTCGGCATGGAATATTCTGCTGACAGGATATGCACAGCAGGGTCAAGGGAAACAGGCTGTGGAGTTCTTCAATAGAATGGTCAAATCTAATGTCAGTCCAGATGAGATTACATTTATTCCACTCCTATGTGCTTGTAGTAAATCGGAAATGGTAACGGAAGGTTTGAAGTATTTTAATAGCATGGAACTGAAATTTGGTGTCACCCCAAATTTGAAGCACTATGCGTGTGTGGTAGATTTGCTCGGCCGTGCTGGGCAGTTGGAGGAGGCTTATGAGTTTATTCAGGAAATGCCTATAAAGCCAGATCCAGCTATATGGGGAGCCTTGTTAAATGCATGTAGAATTCACCGCCATGTTGAGCTTGGTGAATTTGCAGCTCAACGTATTTTTGAAAGTGATGGAAATGTTGGGTATTATGTTTTGTTATGTAATCTGTATGCAAACAGTAGTAAATGGGATGAAGTTGCAAAAGTTCGAAAGATGATGAAAGATGATGGACTAATCATTGATCCTGGATGCAGTTGGGTGGAAATTAAGGGGAAAATCCATGCTTTCCTCAGCGGTGATGATTGTCATCCTCAAATAAATGAAATAAATGCACTTTTAGAAGGAATTTATGAGAAAATGAGGGTAGCTGGCATGGGTGGTCCAAAATGTGATTCCATGGGTGAAGTTGAACTTTCAAAAGCTGAGATTTTATGTGGGCATAGTGAGAGACTAGCTGTTGCATTTGGTCTCATTAATACTGTTCCTGGAACACCTATTTGGGTAACAAAGAATCTCTATATGTGCCAAAGGTGTCACAGTACCATTAAATCCATCTCCAAGATTGTACGAAGGGAGATTTCTATTAGGGATACTGAAGAATTCCACCATTTCAAGGACGGCATCTGTTCTTGTGGTGATGTGGAAATATTAGGGAAAGCTTGACAAATAAGTTTTCGAAAGAAATTGGGAAGTTATTAACTCCCGTGGAGAATGTAGAAATGTAAAAGGCAGCTTAAATGTTGCAATCTGAAAATTGTATTATCGGTCCACGCATCATGGATCACCCAGTTAATATTGAAACATGTATAACACAGAAAGACTCAGAAGCTTGGAAGAATGCTGTAGAATCATCTTGAATGTAGATGCTCCAATTGCATGAACAGCCAAAAAGCTTCTTTTCTGTTCGCTTGGGGATGTACTTTTGAACTAGGGAAACAGCATTAAGATTGTGGCCTGGTGCTCAGAGAAGCTCGGCAGACTCCATTTTCCTGAATTATAAACTTAAAGCATATGTGTGTCGATTCCGTTTTTCAAAGGTGGAGAAGCTCCTTTTGGTTCTACAGATTTCGATGCTGGACAGGTTTCTTGAGTTCCCTTCCTCTGCTTATGACAGCTCCTTGAACCGGAATAATAACACATATAGGCTTGTGATATAGTGAAATTGGTACTTGGATAAGCTCCGGTCCACCCCTTCTGGTTATTGATAGGGGAGGCACATGCCTTTGTTTTAGTTATGGTAAAGTGTTGTCTGCTACTCTGCTTTCCCCCGTAATGTTATATTTCTCCTGTAAAGTAAAATCAAATTTCACAGCAGTATCATATTGAAATACATCTGTTTTTGCTCTTGACTTTAGGCTTCCTTTTTTTTTAATGTTGTTAATATGATGTGCGTTAGCCAGGCCCATTCTAGATACTCCTGAGTGTTGGATTTGAGCATGCATACAAATATATTGAAGTTTTTATAGGATTTTTCATATGTTTGGAGGATCCTTGAGGACGAAGGTCACGTCTGGATACGTACCGGAAGGGAGTGTCTAAAAAATGAAGAGTCGCACGAACCAAGCGACCTGAGTGGTTAAAGGAATGGTTGTTATCCCTAGATATTCCGGGTTCGTTCATTGTCAAATGGTTAAGAGTCTTTAAAACAAATACTACCATTTGTAATCACACTAGATCGATCAAAAATATTTGAAGAGTCTAAACAATATAAGTTTTAGACCCTAAAGTTTTTCATTTGGTGAGTTTTTGAAGACCATATCCCATACTCGTGGAAATATACATTAGACTAATATGCCAATTCAGATTTAAAAACAAAAATACCCAAAATACTCTATTTATTATTCGATACCCCAAATCATATGTAACAGGGAAAAGACCACTGATAAAATATGCAGATTCTGACCCAACTTACTAGGATTTATAAGCAAAAACAACAAGCTGTTATAAATACAGATAAAGACGTATACCTTCACTTAATTATTCGACCTGAAAGAGATACTTCTAGCAATCCACCATAAAATAAAAAATAAATCACCTCAATGTTGAAAGAATGGAGATAAATATTAACAAACAAGTACTCAGAGGGGTGCCCCACAGGTATAAATCTTCATATTTTCACTGCCTTCTTTATTGTTTTGATGGATGATTTGATGAAGTTGTTTCCCATAGCATAATCTCGTTCATCATCACTGGTTACTATTGGCTTCTTTCTCATGCATTCCACTCCTTTCTTCATACCTCCCAAGATCAAAGATGGCGATGATGGGACTCTTCTAAACACCCTGGCACTCTCTGACCTCTTAAGAACTCTTTCCTTTCCCCTTGGTGTTTTTTTGCATTCTGCATCAACAGTCTCTTCTTTCCTCTTCTCATCATCAGCCTGCTCTTGAATTTGCATGGCCAGCTCTTTCTCCTTCAGTGGATACTTTTCATCTAGCTTTTTTATGATTTCATCAGTTCTAGTCACTTCCTCTGCATCTACTTTGTCCAATTCTTCTTGAGTGCTCTCTAACAGCATTTGAAGCCACCTATCAACATTCCCTTTCCCCCTCTGTCTCCTGCTCTCTTCATCTTCGTCTCCTTTGGTTCGTTCGACAACGGGGAATCGAATTTCTTGTCTCTCATCTTTTATTTCAAGCCTTCGAAACTTCTGCTCAATTGGTTTTTCATCTTCTAAAACAGCTACGACTTTATCACGCTCCTCACGCTTTAGTTTGAAGGCATTCTTTGCTGCAATTGCGAGTTCCTCTTCGATTTCTTCATTCTTTTGATCTTCGTTCGAAGATAAACCAGCTACAGATGCTTTTTGTTCTTCCTCAAGAAACACTCTCAGCTCCTTGTGTGAAGGTGTGCTGGGCCTGATTCCTGGTAGATAAAGAACGGTTTTGCTATCTTGATCTTCGAAGAAAGTATCATCCATTCTTGATCGCTTCCTTGCGTGTTCCAATTCCGGCCTTATCTGCTTCTCGATCTCATCTCTTTGTTTGAATTTCTTGTGGAGTTCCTTCTCTGCAGCATCACATATTGCCTTCTGCGCCTCGAGTCTTGCCATGAGAGCATTGGCTGCAGCCTGGTTCAGTCTCACCTGTTCCTTGTAAACAACACTCCTACAAGAATCAAAACAATAAATACTCTTGAAATCTATAAGTCTAGTAGAACATTGTCACATAACAGCATGTTTTGGGCAATCTTACTGGTGCATGGCATCCCGAATCATCTTCTCCAACATAGTCCGGTACGAAGATTGTGCCTCGGCCAGCCTCCGGCACTTTTCAGCCCTTCTCCGCCGCTTTATAAGTTCTGCTTCCAAGTCTTGAATAGCAAACTTTTCTTCGTCGTCCTTCTTCCTCATTTCACTTACTTCTGCATCCAACTTCTGGATTTCGGCTTGCATGTTGTTTGTTTCTTCCCTTTGTTTCAATGAATCTCTGGCCATGACAATAACCTGATACGGATTTGTAACAAAATCTGGGTTTTTATTTTCCTTCAAAATGCTACCTTTCATTTTCCTTGCAGCTGAAAAGTTTCAAATTAGTACGAGACAAATGATCGAAAAACTACTCGAATCCGACACTCACAGTGGAGTCTAAGTAACATATACTAACCAATAATAGGAGACTGTGGCCTAATCTGCCTGTTGTAATCCAATGATTTTAAAGCAGATGAAGAATCATACAGTTCCTTTCGAGTTACAATTACAGCAGCCGGAGCAAGCCCAAGTTGATCTTTTGGCTTCATAAAATGCTGAGGGAAAGAATGTGAATCCACAGTTTGTGAAGCATTTATTTCTTCATTTTCACCCTCAGCAAACAAGAATGAAAATGCCCTGTGCCTGCCATCATCATTCAATCATCAATTCTCCATTTATAGATTGCATCCAAAGTGTATAAAAGCTTCAGAAAGAGAGAAAAACCCGAACCTGAAATCGGAGTTTCGAGAAGCGAAAATGGATAAGAACTGGTTCACGGAAATCCCCAACTGAAAGTCCCACCAAGGAACTTGAAATTCCAGCTTGTTATGTTTTTTCTTGCACACTTGCCATTGTAAAATCCTTAGATTATTTGCAACAGTCAATCCACCCCCTAAAGATTTCAAACCCAGCACCGTGAATAAAGCTTAATGAGAAGTGACACGTAACCAAAAAAAAAAGAACCAATAGAGAAGTTAATGTACTTGAACAAGGAAACCAGTGATCAATGTCCCAGGAGAGGGGTGAAGCTGAATCAGCATGATAATACAGGACATTGCCAAATGGATCGACTCGGATTACTTCCGGATCAAAGCCGGCGTTCCTGAATTAAAAGGGAAGTGAAGGAAATCAGAAAAAAATTGCAATTATTACTTTAATTTAATTCAAGTTAATTACCCTAAATGACTGAGCTGCTTCCACAAGATATTGATGAAGATTTTTGGCTTAGCTGTTGGTCTTGCCTTTGGATCAATAACTGGGAACAATTCATCCAGTTCCTTTGATCTCAGATTCTGCAAAAAAAAAAAACAGTGATTAATCTCCATTGTCTTGATTTCTTCCTCCCCAAACCCATTTCCACCGATTTCTTTTTTAATTTAAAAAAACAATAAAATCGCCCAAATCCCAGGAAACCCATTTCTTCTCCATCTTTAAAGAACCCAAAAGAACTTAAAAAATACCTCATTTTGCTGCAAAACGTAAGGAATGAAGGTGAAAGGAGGGCCATGGTTGCAGGGAGCAAGACTAGGGTCCCGGCATAGTTTTGCATAGGCTCTTGGGTATCCTAGACCCTCATCGATCACCATTTCCTCATCAGCGAAGGCGTAATCAACGGCCATTTTCGTAAATTAGTGAGATTATTATCTGACGGTGGTGTTCTTGAGAAGGAAGATGAAAAAAGCAATTGGGAGAAAAATGTAGTGTTTTTGGTTTGGGAATTAAGAAATAAAAGGCAACGGTCGAAGTCTGTGCATTATTAAACAATCTAAAGATTTAAATAAAGGAGATTTGATAGCTTTAAATTAAGTGGTGCCACGGAAGAACAAATTCGGTGGGGGATGTATAACGGCTACATTACTCAGTATGGGCTGGGTTGGGCTGGGCTTTGCAAATTAAATACTTTTAACATTTTATGAATCCAAATATTATTCAAATTTAAAAATTAGGGTAAAGTACACAAATGGTCCCCCGATTATAAGATGTGACTTTGTCGAGTCCATCGACTATCAAAAGTTACAAAAAGATCCCCTAGCTATAGGGCATTGCTTTGTTGAGTCACTCGACTATTAAAAGTTACGAAATAGTCACACAACTATTCATATTTTCCAAACTCATCTTTTTCTATTAAAACATTGATGTTCATCTGTGTTGGACGTTTAACTTGTTGGCTGAAATATGATAAAATTTGATTCCATAACTATCTGAGTTGTATAGTCGTTTGATAATATGATATCATATTTTATCATAACTCAGTCAGCAGGTTAACGTCTAGCTCAAAATGTCTTCAATTTTTTAATGGAAAATGATAAATTTTGAACATATCAATAGTCAAGTGGTCATTTTGTAACTTTTAATACTCATAAGACTTAAAAAACAACACCCTATAATCGAGGAATCATTTTATAACTTTTAATAGTCGGGGAACTCAACAAAATAACACGCTATAATCAATGGATCATTTGGTGTATCTGTCCTATTATTTTTATCTCATGTTAGCTATGCACATAGTTTTAGGAAAAAAATTGACCACATGTCAAGTTGTATAAAAGGAGGGAAAATTACAAAATTATCCCAAAAAATGATTGATTAATTTAACTGATTTATTTTGATAGTTGTAAAAGAATGAAAAATATAAGGGTAAAAAAGGGAAATATGTGTGTTGTTATTTGTTAACTATTTTAATAGGACATTTTGAATGAGGTAATTTTAAAATCTAAAAGGGATAAATTTAATTAGACGGAGGAAATATTTTTTTTTGGAACTAATCTAGGGTGATTATAAGATAATATGTTCAAATCCTTTTTAACCATTAACAATATTTACAATATGTACACACCTACAAAATCAACTATTCGAACTTAAAATCTCAAAGAAGAACAACGTTTTTTTATCACTAAGCTACTTAATAGATTAAAAAATTAATAATATTTAAATTTTGTTATAATGTTTTTTCTTAAGAAGTATTTAAGGATCCTACATACAAATAGATCTATTTATATTCATGAAATAAATTTGGATAAATCCATACAATAATACTTATTTTAATTATTTTTCTCTTTTGTATCATATTAGAGTTAAATGCAACATACATCCTCAAACTATGAGTCTTATTTTAAATTGTCCCTAAATTTTTAAATATTTTAATTTCATCCCTA